TGCGTGAAAGAGAGTAGAATGGAGAAGTTGTCAATGGCAAAAAATCGTGATAGCAACAATTGAAGCAAGAATTGATCAGCAGGAACCACCAAACAGTGCAGCATTGGTCAAAACTGGAAAAGTTGCCAACTGCATGAATGGAGAACTGGAAAGATACGCAAAAAAAGAGAAGAATGGAGAAGTTGTCAGCTGTATCAGTGGCGAAAAATTACGATACTAAAATAAAAGCTTGTCAAGAAAAATCACCAGACGATGCAACGCATTGGTCGGAACAATTTTTTCAGTGGCGAAAAATTACGATACTAAAACAAGAGCTTGTCAAGAAAAATCACTAGACGATGCAACGCATTGGTCGGAATAATTTGAAAAATTGTGACAGGTGCAGAACTGCGCTATAAATTGCGGTTAGGCATGGTGTCAGAGTGTTTTTGAGCTCACTCTTTTTACATTTCCAGGTATTCTTTTCGACGGATCTCAGCACTGATAATGCGGCCTTCTGGGGTGAGCTTCTTCAAGCCGTCAGTGATTTCGTCTCGCAAAATAAGGAAGCTTATGGTAAATAGCTGAAATCGCCGGAAGTGCTAAAAAACTGCGTCATGATATCAGTGAGTAGTATATCAAACTGCACGATTCAAGGAGAGTTAACTTGTTTTGCTTTTGTTGTAGGTAGGGAACGAAACCGATCTCCATCATGAACTATTCTATTTTGGACACATGTTTTGATCACAAAGGCGAGGGAGGGGGGGGAGGGGTTCTGTTCTCACGTGTGTTATTGTTGTTGTGTTTACGGCCTCCTTGTTTTTCCCTCATTCAACCGCTTTTTTTCATTTCGGGCGAGCTTTGAAGCTATCGGCCGGGAATTTGTTTACCCATTTTAATGAGTTATTGATTCGCCTCTCTCCTCCCCATCCCCCACCCCCCCTGCCCTCTCGTACCCCATTTCGCTTTATTTTTTTCGGTTTACTTCCACTCTCTAGAGGTTTTTTTTCCTTTTTTCGCGACAGCGAGCTTGTTTTGCTTTTGGTATAGGCTGGAAACGAATGTGAGGTAAACGCTGGTTGTTTTAAGATTGTTTTTTTCTCTCGTATCAAGTGCCGTTTCCTCTTTGGGCCTTAGGCTGATCGAGGACGGACTCTTGGAGCTGCTCATAAACTAGGAACAGAGTTGTAGCACTGCTACTTAGAGTTACTTTAGTTTTATTTATGAACAGGCCCGGGCTTTTGCAGCACGTGTGCCGCTGAGGCGGGCGAAAGACCCTTCCCCTCTTCCTCCCATTCCTTAAATTCGCCTATGCCTTGGCCTGTTTGTTTTCCTTGCTGTGTTTGCATTGTACCAAACTCCTGTCAGTTCATTTTTTTTTCTAGAATTGAAGATATTTGGGGTTGTCTGAATTTACCGGTGAGGAGTGCTTGTTTCATAATATTAACTGTGACAGCTTGGATACTCGTCATTTGCTTGTATTATTTTTTTGTGTTAATTTCATATTTCTACTTCATTTTTGCGGTATTTCACGGCGCGTCATTGCTTACTGCTTCTGTTTTGCACTGTTTTTTTGAGTGAAATAGTTGTGTATAAAGCATAAAATGAAGTTGTAAATAAACTGCGCCATGATTTTTATGCGTCGCTGTATATTTCTTGAACGAAAGCCCCTCTCCCTTTTTTCACTGATTCTGCCTCTTTTTTTAATGCATGTCATTTTCCAGATGTTTCGTCTTGTTCGATACCGCACTCCGCAACTGCTGCAGTGTTGCAGTAAACAGTGCGTTTTTGCTGTTGCCAACAAGGGTTCGCTGAGTGAAAAAGAAATTGAAATTCTGAAGAAAAAAACACCGAAAGGTAAATTGGACCGCTATGGGGAAGAGGAAGAGGAACGGAAGCCGTACGAGGATCCAGCACTTCCGAGACATCCTGGAGGTACTTCTTCCTGTTAGCTAGGAGACGATTTGTGTTGCTCTTCATGATACAGGAAGATTTTCATGCATGCAAATTGTGCTTCATATGGCGCAAATACGAAAATTCTTCGAGTGTTCAAGTGTTCCAACGGTTTTGTATTGTATTACCGAGCTGAACACAGACATTTTTATGCTCATAGATTATTCTGTTTTGAGCAAGTTCTTAGAAAGCAGGGGAAAACTTTTGAATATCTGAACAGTTTGACTTATATGTTTTTTGCTTGTTTCGATGCCTGAAAAAATGTTCTTGCCTTAAGAAAATTTTCGGAAATTCATTGAAAAATTGAAAAATCCGGAAGTTTCATGCACATCATTCTCAGGATATAATTCTTGATTCATACTCTTCAATCCCCGGCCACAAAATCTGCGTCTTGCCTTTAACAGATTTCTCTGAATGTAGTTAGTAAAACAAGGCAATTGATACGATAGTTTTTAGCAAGATTCGTAAAGTTCCGCTAGTAATGCAAAAAATATGATGATTGGTTATGAAATGTCAAATTTAGGAGTAAATCCGTTGACTGGAGAAATTGGTGGTCCAGCTGGTCCTGAGCCAACACGTTATGGTGATTGGGAGAGGAAAGGACGATGCATCGATTTTTGATTTTTTTTTTTGTTTTTCAAAAATATTTTCAGTGTTTTTTGACCGAAAACCGGTGTCTGAAATCTTTTCTGTCGCTGATATTTGTTAACGAAATGATATAATAATAAGTTTTTCCCATAATAAAAGTTTCGTTAAATGTATTTGTTGTTTCAAGTTCTGGTTTAGTCCAGCGTGTTTTGAAAATTTTCGCCGCCAAATCATCGATTTTCACTCTTCAAAAGTTATTATATGTCAGTACAAATTCCTTTTTTTTGCAAAATTTGATTGTGTTAGATGTTTAAGTTACAGGAATGAGCAGTTCCG